GCGGTAATCAATTTAACAACGTTACAATCAGTTAGACGAAACAATACAATAAACAGGTTTTCAACAATAAGATAAGTATGAGAATTCGATAACTGCATATAAGTTGCCTTCGGCTTTGAAACGTCTACTAACTTATATTTATTAGTTTTTTTTAAATAGATCGCTATCCAAGAAGCATTGGTGAAAAGAAGGAATTCTCTCGCAAAGTCGGGGTACGCCAGAATAGAAGCGGAGATGAGTTTCTCTTTCAACGCCCTGAAGGCTTCGTGCTATTTGTTAGTCTATATGTACTTGGAATCCTTCTTCAGAAGTAAATTCAAAGGAGCAGCTATATTGGAGAAATTTAGGATAAACCTCCGGTAATAAGTGGCTAGGCCAAGAAACCCACGTAGCTGTCGAAGAGTCTTGGGCACCAGGAAATTCTGGACAGTCTCTACTTTCTTTGGGTCGGTAGAAATCACCTCAGACCCAATAACGTAGCCAAGAAATTTAAGCTCCTTCTTGACGAAGTGACATTTTCAGGAACTGAGTTGTAGGCCTGCCTTCCTAAGATGCTCGAAAACTTCCCTTAAATGTCGAAGGTAATCGTCAAATATTGGGGAGAAAACATTGATGTCGTCAAGATATACGATGACAAATTTACCATTTACGCCTTGAAAAATAGCGTCTATGAGCCTTTAAAATGTGGCCGGAGCGTTGGTGAGGCCAAATGGCATAATATTGAACTCGAAGGTGCCGAATTGGGAAATAAAGGCAGTTTTCTTTCTGTTCTTCAGCTCTATTTCGATCTGCCAGCAACCACTAGCAAGATCTAACGAGGTGTACCAAGAAGAATATTTGAGTGTATCAACGAGTTTATTGATACGAGGTAAAGAATAGCTATTTTTCTTTGTAACAGAGTTGATGCGATGATAATTAATGCAAAAATGGGTCTTATTCTTCTGTTTGACCAGGATAATCGAGAAGGCCCAGGGCTGACAGAGGGCTGGATGATATTCTCTTCGAGCATTCTATTAATTTCCTCAAGAAATTCTTTCTCTTTGGGGTCGTATGGTATACCTTTGCTTGATCGGGACCGAATCACCGGTGTGAACGCTATGGGTAACTAGGCTAGTTCGGTCTAGATCCTAAGTCGTCCAAGCGAAGAAGTTATCATTATTACGAACAGCTCATACAACTAATCTTGGTCTTTCTCTTCAAGTTACCAATGTCAATTTCTGGCACAACTTTTTCAACGTTATCAAAATAAAAATTATAAATCTCATTTATCCCATCCTCCAAACAAACATCACTGCTTTCAGATCCTTTACCATCCACGTCCTACCAATCTTCTTCCAACGAGGCGACGAGGAATGAAACATTATCTTCCTCAGAATAACTGAAAAGCTGATCCTCTAACTCCTCCTCTTCGTACTCACTTCTGTCTCTTCATCTTCTATCTCTGATTCTTAATCATTCTCTTGCGGCTCTGTTGTTCAGGGAAACCATTCTTCTTGAAGTGGTGTGTGCTGTAATTTGCGAAACTTACAGGCACAGCAATCTCCTTGCCTTTCTATACAAAGATCATGTTGAATCGAGTATAATCGATTTTGGCACTGACCTTTGAAAGCCAGTCGTTCCCTACAATGGCTTGGTAGGACTGGGTGTCAGTAACCACAATATCAATGGGAATTCTCACTCCTCCCACCATGAAGGAAAAATTGGAAATCTCGCCAATAGCCCTTCTGCTTTGTCCGTAGATATTGATCATGTTGATGGTAGAGGGTCTCTCTACCTTAATACCAATGTCCTGGAGAAAGTGAATAGAGACTACACTACCCGAAGACCCACTATCAATAATAAGGGGATAACTTCCCCTTGACAGACGCATCACAGTACAGAGCTGTAGCTTTCGCAGTAGGGTGAAGATTAACAAATGCCCGACCTTTTCTTTTAGTAGCTTTCTTCTTTTTTGAAGGCCTTTAGATAGCTCAGTACGCATTGAGGGGACAGCCTTCAACAACTAACCGATGGTGATATTCACAGGTTTGTCCCTGACATTGGCAACAATAGAGGAGAGGGAAACAAGAGCAAAAATCTATGAGGTTCATCTTCAATTTTCTTTCTACAGGTGACTATTGGCTTAGTATCCTTCTTTTTCGCCAACTCGCAGTTGTGGGAGCTTTCGGTGCTTTTTGTAGGTCAGGATGAATTTCTTGGGACAAATCTTCTGTAGTTCTCTGTCGCTTAAGTCGGGTTGATCTAATGGGTCGTTCTAGTTCTTCTCCGATATTGTACAAAGTATCCTCATTGTGAAGGTTCAGGAAAGCTTGTGACTCATTCACCTGAGAGTTTGACACTACAAGATTAAGGAGGGTTTGCATCACATTCTGAACATCATTGTTATTGGGG